GGACTCCAGGATCATGACCTGAGCCGAAGGCAGTCTCTTAACCAACTGAGCCACCCAGGCGCCCTCTGAAGAAGTTTTTACGTCATGGATTCTATTTCCTTAGTAGTTCTAGAACCATTCAGATTTTTCTATTTCTTTCCGTGATGGTTTTTGTAATACAAATGTCAGTCATGTCAGGTTTGTGAATCTTTGGTTAAAATCTACATCTTTGGGGCGCCTGGGTGGCTCAGCTGGTTAATCGTCTTCTTTCGGCTCAGGTTATGATCCCAGGATTCTGGGATCAAGTCCTGCATCCGGCTCCCTGCTTAGCGGGGAGCCTGCTTCTCCCTCTCCCTCTGCCTCTCTCTCTTCAAATAAATAAAAATATAAAATCTACATCTTTGGTGGATTCTTTTGTCTTGTCAACTATTTTAAGAGAGGAATATTGACTCTCTAGCCACAGTTGTGTTTCTCCTTTCAGTTATGTTAGGTTTGTGCTTTTCTATTTCTAGACTATGTCATGAGCCTCATCTTACCATCTCAGCAAATGGACTCTTTATCTTTTGAGATGCTCCTCTTTATGTCAGCAAGCACTTAACTCATACTCTAACTAACTGAAACCCATTTTTCTGATTTCTTATTGCACTTGCTTGAAGCATTGATGAGGTGTTCTACAGTGACTGGAACATTCCACCTGCCAGGCCAGAAAAGCCCTAAGAGCAACAGAATGCCTAGAAGACCACCCGCCATATGTCCCCTCCCTAAGCCAGGACCACACGCTGAACGTGTACCAATCCCCCCAACCCAGGATCACGTGCTCTCTGCCTGCTCTCTTGCACGTACCCCCTGAACTTCTTCCTGTAAAACTCTCAGGGTCCATCTTGACGCCAGAGAGGTTGGCTGTTCAGGCCTGAGCCTGCCACCTCCCCTGGCTGCCGGCATCCAAAATAAATCTCTCCCTCCCTCCCAAACCCTTGTGTCTTGAGTTTTCGGCTTCTCTTGCAATGCGTTTACCAGGTTTGTTCAACAATATTGGCAAACCTGGCCAGGAGCTATGCCTTTGATTTGTCCAGCCCTGCAGGATTCCCCTGGACAGAGCAGTAGGCCACAGCAGCACGCCCAAGTTTGCCCGTTCCCTCCCTGAGTTAGCAGCTGTGATGGATGGCTGACGTGCATCTCTCGGGACGCTGGTTGGGAAGTCTGTTTTTGATAACACAGCCATGCCAGCTTCCTTTGGGGTAGTGCTTACATGGTACGCTTTTTTCCATTCCCTTACTCTTAACATTCGTAGATTCTTTTATTTAAGGTGTTCTCTTATAAGTAGAATGTAGTTGACATTGGTTTTTTTCCCTAGTCTGACAATCTTTCTTTTCAGTGGAAAATTTAGACTGTTTACATTTAATTTAATCATTGATATATTTTGGGCTCTTTGTTTTTTCTGCCTATTCTGTTTCTGTTTTTCTCTTTTTTTTTTCCTTTTGCCATCTTCTGGATTTTTATTTTATTATTTTCTCTGGTTTGGTAGTTTTGCATTCTTTTAGTATTATTTTAATAGTTACTCTAGAGATTATACATGTGTCTTTGACTTATTAAAGCTTAATATAAGTTTATACTTTAGCCACAACCTGGACAGTACAAGGACCTTTGTGAATAATAATCATTAATTAATAATAAATGATAATAAGTAAATATTTATAAACTATTATTAATTTATGTAGTCAGTATTCATTTAGAATTTTGTTGCTCTTCAATCCTGACATCTTCCTACTTCCATCTGGGGTTACTTTTTTTTTTTTTTCTGCCTGAGGAACCCCTCTACTGTTTCATTTGGCATGAGTTTACTGGTGATAAATACTGCCAGTTTTTGCTTTTCTGAAAATTTCTTTGTGTTCCTCTATTTTTGAAGGATACTCTTTAGTGGGTATAGAATTATAGGTTGGAGGGCACCTGGATGGCTCAGTCACTGGGCATCTCCCACTCCCCCTGCTTGTGTTCCTGCTCTTGCTATCTCTCTCTCTGTCAAATAAATAAATAAAATCTTTCAAAAAGGGGGGCACCTGGGTGGCTCAGTCGTTAAGCGTCTGCCTTCGGCTCAGGTCATGATCCCAGGGTCCTGGGATCGAGCCCCGCATTGGGCTCCCTGCTCTGTAGGAGGCCTGCTTCTCCCTCTCCCACTCCCCCTGCTTGTGTTCCCTCTCTCACATTCTCTCTGTCAAATAAATAAAATAAAATCTTTTAAAAAAATAAAAGAAAAATAAAAAAGAATTATAGGTTGACAGTTATTTCTGTCAGTAGTCTGAAAATGAAGACAACTCCATTGTCTTCTGGCTTTTATACTTTCTGTCAGTCTTATTGTCATGCTCTGAAGACAGCATGTCTTCATGGGTGCTTGAAAGAATTCCTCTTTATTTTCCGTTAGCACTTTTACTATATGTGCCTCAATGTGTTTTTCCTTGTATTTATCCTTCTTGATGCTCATAGTGCTTCTAGAATATGTAGCTTGATATCTTTCATCAGTTTGAGGATATTCTCAGCTCTCTTATTTCTTCAGATATTTTGGATGCCCCTTTCTCTTTCTTTTTTTTTTTTTAGATTTTATTTATTTATTTGAGAGAGAGTGAGCAAGCAAGAGAGTGTGAACAGGGGGAGGGGAAGAAGAAGAGGGAGAAGCAGACTCCCTGCTGAGCAGAAAGCCCGATGCGGGGCTCGATCCCAGGACCCTGGGATTATGACCTGAGCAGAAGGCAGGAGCTTAACTGACTGAGCCACCCAGACACCCCGCCCCCTTCTCTTTCTGATCTTCATTTAGGAATCCAATTAAATATATGCTCAACCTTTCCACTCTATCCCACATGTCTCTTATACTCTTTACTAGACTTTATATCCTTTTGACTTTCTGTTTCAGTCTAGGTAATTTCTTTTGACCAGCCTTCTAGTTCACCAATTCTCTCTTTATCTGTATCGAATCTCTTGTCAACCACATCCACTGAATCCTTAAGTTTAGTTATTCTATTTTTCACTTTTGGAATTTCCATTTGTTTGCTTTTGATTCCACGTCTCCCCCTAACCGAATTAGTTAATCTTGTCTTTTGACAGTGTACTTAATTAAGAACATTAACTAAGGTTATTTTAAAATCCTTATCTGATAATGGCATTATCTGCATCTCTGTTGGGACATTTTTTATTTAAATGCAATTAATTAACATATAATGTATGTGATTCATCAGTCTTACACAACACACAGCGCTCACCACAACACATACCCTCCCCAATGTCCATCACCCAGCCACCCCGTGCCACCCCATGCCTCCCACCCCCCTCCACTCCAGCAACCCTCAGTTTGTTTCCTGAAATTAAGAATCTCTTTTGGTTTGTCTCCCTCTCTGATTTCATCTTGTTTTATTTTTTCCCTCTCTTCCCCTATGATCCTCTGTTTTGTTTCTTAGATTCCTCACATCAGTGAGATCATATGATAATTGTCTTTCTCTGATTGACTTATTTCGCTTAGCATAATACCCTCTCGTTCCATCCACGTCATTGCAAATGGCAAGATTTCATTTTTTTGATGGCTGCATAATGTTCCATTGTATATATATACCGCATCTTCTTTATCCCTTCATCTGTTAATGGACATCTAGGCTCTTTCCATAGTTTGGCTATTGTGGATATTGCTGCTATAAACATTGGGGTGCAGGTGCCCCTTCAGATCACTAGATTTGTATCTTTGGGGTAAATACCCAGTAGTGTAATTCCTGGGTCATGTGGTAGCTCTATTTTTAACCTTTTGAGGAACCTCCATACTGTTTTCCAGAGTGGCTGCACCAGCTTGCATTCCCACCAACAGTGTAGGAGGTTCCCCTTTCTCCGCATCCTCACCAACATCTGTTGTTTCCTGAGTGGTTAATTAGCCATTCTGACCAGTGTGAGGTGGTATCTCATTGTGGTTTTCATTTGTATTTCCCTGATGCCGAGTGATGTTGAGCATTTTTCCTGTGTCTGTTGGCCATTTGGATGTCTTCTTTGGAGAAATGTCTGTTCATGTCTTCTGCTCATTTCTTGACTGGAGTATTTGTTGTTTGGGTGTTAAGTTTGATTTTTTTTTTTTTTTAAGATTTTATTTATTTGACAGAGAGAGACACAGCGAGAGGGAACACAAGCAGGGGGAGTGGGAGAGGGAGAAGGCAGGGAGCCTGATGCGGGGCTCGATCTCAGGACCCTGGGATCATGACCCGAGCCGAAGGCAGATGCTTAACGACTGAGCCACCCAGGCACCCCGAGTTTGATACGATTTTTATAGATGTTTGATACTAGCCCTTTATCTGATAAGGCATTTGCAAATATCTTCTCCCATTGTGTTGGTTGTCTTTTGGTTTTGTCAACTGTTTCCTTTGCTGTGGATGTCTTTTCTTTTTCTTGTCTGATTACTGCAGCTCAGACTTCCAGGACTGAGAGGGGACTTCCTTGTCTTCTTCGTGGTCTTAGGGGAAACGGTTTCAGGCCTTCATCACTGAGTATGAGATCAACTGTGGGCTTTCATACATGGGCTTTATTCTGTTGATGTACATTTCCTCAAAACCCACTATGCTTTTTATGTTGTATTTTGTCAAATGCTTTTTCTGTAACTATTGAGATGATCATATGGTTTTTGTCCTTTGTTAATGTGATGGATCACATTGGTTGATTTGCCAGAGAGGAAGTGGGTGGGAGATGGGCAAAATAGATGAAGAATATTAAGAACTATAAACTTCCAGTTATAAAATAAAGTCACAGAAATTTAAAAAGTACATGGGCACCTGAGTGGCTCAGTCGGTTAAGCGTCCGCCTTCGGCTCAGGTCATGGTCCCAGGGTCCTGGGATCGAGCCCCACATCGGGCTCCCTGCTTGGCAGGAAGCCTGCTTCTCCCTCTCCCACTCCCCCTGCTTGTGTTCCCTCTCTATGTCTCTCTCTATCAAATAAATAAAATCTTTTAAAAAAAAGAAACTTAAAAAGTACAGCATAGTGAATGGAGTCAATACTATTGTAATAACTTTTAATGGGGACAGATGGTGAGTACACTTCTCGTGGGGAGCACTGGGTAATGTACAGAATTGCTGAACCACTAAGTTGTAGTCCTGAAACTAATGTAACATTGTGTGTCGACTACAATAAATATTAAATAGAGGTTTCTGACAGAAATCACGGTGGATCCGTGAAAGGCATTTACACAGCCATTACAAATATGAAGGCACCTCTGCAGAGATGATAAAGATTTCTCAAATGTTCTTAAATGTTAATTTCTTAAAAGATTGATTTATTTATGAGAGAGAGTGTGCACACTCGCAGGTGTGAGCAGGGGGGAGGGGCAGAGGGAGAGGGAGAATCTGAAGCAGACTCCTCACCAAGCCCAAGCCCGTCACAGGGCTTGTTCCCACGAACCCGAGATCTGACCTGAGCTGAAATCAAGACTCGGACATTGAACTGACTCAGCCACCCAGGAGCCCCTCAAATGTTCTGACGTGGACAACGCATGCTGTGAACCCTTGGGGTGGGAGGACATTTGTGACGCACAGTCTGCCTAGAAGGGCGGGGTGCCGGGAGGACCTGAGCATGGGAGCTAAGGAGGGTGGGAGGGAGCCAAGCCTCCCCTTCCCACCATGCGGGGTGCCAGGACCCTCCCCAGGAGCGTGACCTTCAAGGGGAAGGGCTCGGTGCTGACGGACCCCGCCGACGTGCACTGATGACGCGGGACCCCACTGGACAGAACGGTGGCACCCCGGGGTTCCGCCACTGCCTGGCATGCCC